TCCCGCGGCCCCACGCGGCTCATGTGCACGTGTGCCGCTCCTGGGGCCGGCGCCCTCTCCCTGTCTGGTAGGGGCTCCGTGGCCCGCGGGGGGCTGGGGCAGCTCTGGCCGACCACCCCAGCGCCTGGGCCCCTGCTGTCCAGAGGGAGGGCCCACCAAGAAGGGACCACCCGGCCACCCACGTTTTCTCATTCCAGGGTCGGGGGGGTCTTGGAGCACAGCTGTGGGCGCTGGACTCCGGCTTTGTGGCATCCGCAGGGGGCTCCCTTCTGAAAGGCCTTCCGAGGGGGCGGTCACGGGGTGCTGCGGCTGTGAGGATGGCCCCTGTGAAGCAAGTTCGAGGCCCCTGACTGGCTCTTACGGGCACGTCAAAGCTCCTCTAGAGGGAAGCGGAATAGGGGGCATGGCTTGGGAAACGGGGGATGGGGAAGCAGAGGCGAAGAGGGACAAGGTGGCCAGGGCAGGGCAAGGCTGGGCCCCACCAGGTAGGGAAAGGCACGGAGGTGCCTCCTGCCTGGCAGGCAGCTGTCCCCGCTGCCCTCGCCCGAGCAGGTCCCGGCCCCCTCTCCTCTCTGGCTTCCGCACAAGGGTCAGCCCTTGGCATGTCCCGCTTTCATGGGCCTGGGCCGCGTAAACCAAGCCTTTATTTCATTCTTTTCTCCTAAAGTTCAGCTTTGTTCCCGCCCCAGCCCAGGCTTCTAAGAAAGCGACCTGAAACCAGCTCGCGTCGGACTCCCACGGGCCGGGCCGCGGGGCGCCAGCCTCGCCTGGACAGGTGGCCTGAGGACACGGCAGCTTCAGCGCCAGTCGTCCTCGATCCCCAGGGACCGAGGCGGCCTCGTCACCTTCCAGGGGAATAATGGTCCCTTCTCTGGGCGAGTGGTCTGTCCCCAGCCCCGGGGCGCGGGCCCCTCGGCCGAGGCCGGTGTGTGTGTGTTGGGGGGGGACAGAGACACCTGCCTGGATCCTCGCCCTCCCGTCCAGGTCACAGCAGGTAACGGCTCCCTGGGCGGAGTGCGTGCCCGCCCCAGCCGAGGGCTGTACTAATGGCGCCTCCCTGGACCCCACGGTGTCCGCCCAAGGCTTCACCTGACCCCCAGCTGACAGATGAGCATCCTGGGTACCATGTCATTTGCTTCAGGCCACACGATGTGGATGTGACGGGGCTGGGACCGGGCCTGGCATAGGGGGGTGTGCCCAGTGGGACCAGGCCTGCTGCTGGGAGGAGCAGGAGCCAGGGCTTCGCGCTGCGTTTAGGACCCCACTGTTTGGCCTGCCGAGCCCCGACCCCTCAGGGAGCTGGTGCAGGGCGCACCTTTGCTGACCTCTGCACCCCCCTGCCCCGCTGGCTGCCCCTCCCCCATCAGGACACAAGACTCCCTCTCTGGCTCAGGTGACCCCACTCCACTTTCCGGGAGGCTCCCGGTGGTGAGTGCTGTGGGTCTGGAAGGGACTGTTCTGGGGCAGCACCCCCCCCTTCCGGTCACTCTCCCCAGCCGCACCAAGCGTTAGGCTACCCGCTCGCCAGGCCTGGGCAGGCAGCCCCGCTTGCTGAGCTCACGCGCGCACCTGGTGAGCCCCCTGGGGGGTGCCCGTGAAGCAGGGGCCTGGCACCGTGGAGGGCTCCTGTGGGAGCGGGCAGCTGTCCCCTGCCCCCACCCCCCACCCCCGTGAGTCCTGCCCCCAGGCTAGGGTTGTCCCCACTCCCCGCTCCCTGTCACAGGTCTGTCGTCCCTTGCTGTCCCTCTGTTTCCCAGAGTGGCCCTCTCTGTGGCTTGGTGGGCATGTGGGACCCCCGACCCCTACTCTGAGGTCCCAGGGAAGGGGCCACCAGGCTGCCTTGTCAACACAGGCCTTGTGTGAGTGACAGCGGCCGACGGGAGGACCAGACGCTGGGAGCGGTGTGCGCAGGGTGTGACCTGAGTGTGCAGTGCACGGGGCCCTTGCTCAGGCCGCGCCGGACTCGCGCTGCTTCCGGCGCCCGGCACAGGTGGGGAGGGCCGCGGCTTGGGCTCCGCTCACGGGACGGCCTGCGGGCAGGAGCCCCCTGGGGCCTGGAGCCCGGCTGGTGCGGAGGAGGTGGCCGCGGCCTGCCAGGGGCTTGAGCCTCGCTTCCCTCCCTGGTGCAGCCCCTGACGCTCAGCAGCTGAGTGGGGACCATTAACTGCCAAGGTCCCGGTCACAGCCTTTGTTTTGTGTGACCTGCCAGTTGTCAGGAGCCCGTGTAGGAGACACAAAGCTGTCCCCCCTCCCCCAGGAGCCCCTACTGGCCGCTGCCCCTGGCAGTTCCCCTCACCTGGATCCCTCCCCCTACTCAGCTGCTCTGTATCTGAGCCTGCAGCCTGTGTGGATGGGGAGGCGCCAGGGGCGGAGGGGTGCTGTTTCCTGCCCCCCTGTCCTGTCCCCGCGCCTCCGGCGCCGCACGGCTAACACTCGGGCCACGACGGGCACCAGACCTCGGCCACGTCCAGTCTCGACCTTGTCCCTTCCTGCAGGCAGCGTGTGCTCTTCCTGAGGTCACAGTTGGTAGCAGGTGGAGAAACTGAGGCTGGGCAGGCCTGTGGTTGTCTCAGGGCCCCCGCCGTCCAGTGGTGGCAGCTTGAGCCTAGAAGGAGGTGCCCCTCTCTCTTCCCAGGAACGGCTGGGGGTGGGGGCTGGACCCCATGGGCCTCCAGGGCAGCCCAGGCCACTTTGTTCCCCGGGTGGGGGTGGGGTCTTTGCTGCCATCTCTGCTGGGGCAGACCCTTTAGGGGCTGGGCAGCTCCTTTGGGGACCCGTCGTGGACGCACAAAGTTGCTCTTCTTTAAACTCCGACCCGGCGGGGGATGAGGGGACAGGGTGTCCACCTTGGGCGAGCGCACTGTGGAGTTGCTGGGCCTGCTGCTCTGGGACCCCAAGGAGACGCAGGGAGGGGGGCCCTGGGGCCCTGCGGGGCGCCAGCCTTGGCATCCCTGTCCGTTCTGGACCCTTCCTCTGCCCCGGCTCTCTGGCTCTCCAGTGCCTGCCCCATTCTCTCATCTTCCCCTTCTCCCCCCCCCACCGCCCCCCGGCCCCCTCCCTTGCCCAGCCTCCGCCCTGTCTGCACCCCCCCCCCAACCCCCGGCCCCCTGGCCGCCCGGCGGCTCTGCCGGCCCTGCAGACTGTGTGGAATAGTTTAAATGCTTTGACACCCGGGCTGTGCTGGATGGCAGGGCGGCAGTTTACTGGGCAATTCATATGCAAAACTGCACTATAAATTTCCAGGCTGTCTCGGTCGCCGCGGCACCACGAAGCATTTCTCCACGTACAGTACAGTATTTCTGCCATCTTTGTTTGCATTGCAGTGAGTCATCAAAAGTCTGTCTTGTACCAACACCCGGAGCCGCGCATTCCTCTGGCACCAGCGCTCCACTGTTTTTAAAGCCGGGGCTGGGAGCTGGCATTTACTTCGGCTCCCAAATCAAAGGCAGCTATTCATTCCCGGGAGCTGCCTGGATGTCCGTCTGCATCCGGCCTCTTCATTTAGATGCTGTGCGCTGCCCGGGAGGAACGGGCTGGGTGCAGCTGAGCCGCGGCCGCCCAGCCCAGCGCCGAGACTCTCTGCCCCCTCCCCCTCCCCTCCCGCTTCTCCTCCTCCTCCTCCTCTCCGGGCTCCTCTCCCCCTCCCCGCCCCAAGGGCTCCCGCTCCGTTTGCTGCATTCCCGGAGCAGCTGGCGGCAGCGGGCGGCCGGCAAGCGGGCAAGCCTGCCCCTGCCAGGCTGAGCGGGCAGTGCGGGGCCACCGGCGGCCACGGCCAAAGGTAGGTCTCCCCCGCCGGCCGGTGCCACCCCGCCCCGGCTGGCAACTTCTCCGCAGCAGGGGCACTGCGGGCCCTCCCCCAGCGGTGCCCACCTGCCTAACTCCAGCTCCGTCCCGGTGCTCCGCCCTCGCTCTGCCCCCCTCCGCCGCCGCCGCGCGCCTCTGCGGCCCGGCACTTTCCTCCTGCGGGACAGAGCGGCCCTTTGTGCGGCTCTGGCTGCGCAGAGTTGAGCCGGCACCCTCTCCGGCCCGGCCGGCCGGGCCCCCTCCTCGGAATCAGGCAGGGGATCAACAGTGCCGGAGCCCTGTCCCCAGCCCTGGGGTGCCGGCAGCATCCCCAGCCCTGGCGGGTCCCTGCCCCCAGTCTCCCCATGACCCCTGTAGTCACCTGAGCTTGGAAGGAGCCAGTGGGGATTGGCCCGGGATGGAAGCTGGGGGGTGGGGGGGCTGCGACAGCTTCCCAGCCGGTCCTGCAGCCCGGCCCCTAACCACAGCAGCTGGGGGGGCCCCTGTGGCCCTGGAGGTCCCCCCTGCAGGACGGGGACGGGCCGAGGTGGTGGAGCCTGAGCCCCAGAGTTCCCCAGCTCACTCACTCCCCGGGCACCCACCCCCCACGCCTGACCCTGCGCTGCTGCTCTGAGGAAAAACAAACTAGAAACCCAGAGCCTCGAAAAGACCCCCTGCAGCGTCCCGGGGCGGGGCTGTGCCCCTCGTTTGGGTTTTGGCCCCTCCCTGGGGAAAGGTGGTGAGGGGCTTCTTCGCTGCCAACTTTTTCTGGGGAAAAGAGTTGCGTGAGCCAGCCGGTGCCTGCCCCCGCCCCTCCCAGCCGCCGCGGGTTGGTGGCCCTGGTCCCTTCCTCCTGTCCCCACTGTGGTGCAGGCCTCTCTTCTGTCTTCTGCTCAGATGGGTGTCTCTGGCCGGCTTGGGGGGGGGGGGCGATCTCTCCCCTGGGAGGGTGCCCTGGGGGCCTGTGCTGGGTGCACAGGCAGCCCTGGGCTTTGCGTGTCCTGTGCAGCTCCGAGCGTTGGCTCGGCCAGGGTCCCCTGTGAGCGAGGTCGCCCTGAGACCTGGGGACAGCTCTGGCTGGAGGGTCTGGGGGAAGCTGGCGGGGGGCGCGCTGGGGTAGAGCCTGTTTCAGGGGGGTGCGGGGGTCTGGCCCTTCTGGCTGGGTGCCGGGCGTCCCGGAAGCTGACCGCCGCACCCTCTGCGCTCTCTCCCCCCAGATGCGCCCGCTTGGGCCGCTCCCGCGCTGAGAGTCCGAGGCGCCCGCGAGCCTGCCCGCCATGTCTCAGATGCTGCACATTGAGATCCCCAACTTCGGGAACACCGTGCTCGGCTGCCTCAACGAGCAGCGCCTGCTGGGCCTCTACTGCGATGTGTCCATCGTGGTCAAGGGCCAGGCCTTCAAGGCCCACCGGGCCGTGCTGGCTGCCAGCAGCCTCTACTTCCGCGACCTGTTCAGCGGCAACAGCAAGAGCGCCTTCGAGCTGCCCGGCACCGTGCCGCCCGCCTGCTTCCAGCAGATCCTATCCTTCTGCTACACGGGCAGGCTGACCATGGCGGCCAGCGAGCAGCTCGTGGTCATGTACACGGCCGGCTTCCTGCAGATCCAGCACATCGTGGAGCGCGGCACTGACCTCCTGTTCAAGGTGAGCTCGCCCCACTGCGACTCGCAGACGGCCGTGATGGAGGACGCCAGCTCCGAGCCCCAGAGCCCCTGCACTCAGCTGCAGCCGGCTGCGCCCGGGCCCCCCTACGTCATGTCCCCCTCTGTGCCCATCCCGCTGCTGACCCGCGTGAAGCACGAAGCCACGGAGCCGCTGCCCGCCACCGGCCCGGGCCTGGCGCCCAAGCGCCCGCTGGAGTCCGGGTCCCGGGACGGCGCTGCGGTGGCGGCGGGCGCCGCGGTGGCGGCCGGCGCGGCCCCTCTCAAGCTGCCCCGGGTCTCCTACTACGGGGTGCCCAGCCTGGCCACCCTCATCCCCAGCATCCAGCAGGTGCCCTACTCCCAGGGCGAGCGGACCAGCCCGGGGGCCAGCAGCCTGCCCACTACCGACAGCCCCACCTCCTACCACAACGAGGAGGACGACGAGGACGAGGCCTATGACACGATGGCAGAGGAGCAGTACGGCCAGATGTATGTCAAGGCCACGGGCAGCTACGCAGGTAATGTGTGGCGGCCGGGCCCTGTGTGGGCGCCGAGGCGCTCCTGGCCCCTTCCCGGTGGCACTCACAGCCGCGCCGGGGCTTCAGGCCGGCGGGGTCTGAGACACCTTGGGGAGACCACGCTGCTGGAGGTGTGCGGGGGCGGGGGGGGGCTCCCCCCAGCCTGGACCACAGGAGCCGGCGGGCACTGAGGCCCAAGGTGGGACCGGTCGCGGGTCAGTCCTGCGGGGCCTCTGCTGAAGACTTCACCCTTGATCCTGGGCGACACGGGAGGCCGGGGAAAGCGTTTAGCTGAGTGGAACCCACTGGAAGCGAGTGGAGCAGGGAGGGGTGGGCTCTGTCTCCCGTTGGACGGATGAAGGGACTGAGGGCCCCAGGGGACGAGGGTCTGCCAGAGGCTCGAACCAGTCGCTCGCCTGCTCAAGGCCTCGGTGCCCCTGTCTGTGAGCGGCCTGGTGCCACGAGCGCCCTGGCCGCCCCTTGGGCCTCGGCTCCTTCCGCCCACCCAGGAAGGCCAGAGGTTCCCCTGTGCCCGTCGTGTGTGCCGCCACCTCCCTGGGCCGAGCACCGAGGCGGGCGGGGCGCCCTCGCTTGGGACCTGCAAACCCGAGGTGCCCTCCTCAGAGACGCCTGGTGTCACAGAGTGCGTCACAGCCCCTGGGGACGGCTCAGGGTCTGCTGGGGAGAGGGTCCCGTCGTTGGGGCCACAGATCAGGTGTCCCCCTGCCTTCTGTGTTCCCCGAAAACTGGCTGCGTGCCTGGGCCTGCTGCCTGCCCTGGTTTGCATGCAGGGCCCGTGTCCAGGGGACTGGATCCGGACACGTGTGCCAGCGGGAAGTGACGTCCCAGAGCTGGGGCCCTGAGGGGCAGCTGGGGACGCTCTGCTCCCCCGTCCCCTGCTGTGTGTGCGTTCCCCGATGGGGCAGCCGCTGCCGCCGCCCCTCTTCTGCCCTCACCTGTTCCTCGCCCTCCCGACGGGGGCTCCTGCATAAGTCCTGGGGGGCAGAGGCCAAGGGAGCCAGGCCCTGGGGACAGCTGGGTCCCCAGAAGCTTCCAGGGACTGGAAGGCTGGGTCTCAGCCTCTGGTCTGGCCAGCCTGGGTCCCTGGCAGGGGCTCTGGGGGATGGTTTTACCCCCGAAGTTGTTACTTGACTCACGTGCATGTTGCCGTACGTGCACGAACCTCACGGGGCCCAGCACGCTGTCCGCCGCTCGCCTCCCACCTCGACCAGACTGGGCCCTTCCTTCCAGTGGCAGGAGAGGGAGGCTCTGGTGTGTTTGGTGCCAGGAAACCTGCAGCAGTGCCCTGGCTGTGCCGGGGGAGTGTGCGGCTCAGGGTCTGTGAGGGATCAGGCAGCCGCCATGGCTCCCCTTCCCGGGGAAGGCAAGCCACACAGGCCCAGGGCAGGGCCCCCTCCCCACCCCCGCCACCGCCCGCCAAGTCCCTGAGGAACTCCCTGTCCTCCTGCTGCCCGGGGGGCGGGGCTCTATGGGGAGGTTAGGGCACAATCTGGCGAGGGCCCAGGGCGGGGGATGGCTCACAGGCGGCCCACGGAGGTGCACGCCTCCCCGGGTCCTCCCTGCCCAGCACCCCTCCCGCCAGCATGGTCCTGGGCCGTGGCGTGTTGGGGAGCGTGAGAGGCGCCGGGTGTGGGGAGGGCTGGGAGCTGGTGCACCTGCCCCTCCAGCGGGATGGGCTTGGAGCCCTCTCTTGACCTGGACGGTGGTGGCCCACCTGTGTCTTTGGGGTTCCTGAGGCGCCAGTGGGACGGTGGCCACAGGAAGGCCAGGGTAGGGGCTGGGAGGCCGAGCTGCCCCATGGCCTGGGGGTGCCCTCTTGCCAGCACCCCTCCCCGCCCCCCACCCCTCACTCAGGCGAGGGTGTGAGGCCGGGGGTGAGAGCTTGGCCCAAGGCCACGTGCCTGCAGGGGCTCACCCAGGTCTTGGGGGACAGGAGGGAGTCCCCGCCTCCCTGGGATGTTGGAGGGAGGGTGGGGGGGCGGGGAGACCAGGGGGCGGGGCTGGTCCTGCCTCCAGCTGGCCCAGGACGCTGTGGCCTGGGCTTCCTCCTCGGTGAGCCCATAAGTGGGGCAGAGAGGGGGTGTGTAATTTCTTGGTTAAAATCTAGGTTATTGGCAGTGACGTTGCTGGCATCACTGGGCGCCAGGCATGCTGGGAATAGGGGGAGGGGCCGTGGGGGCGAGCGGGCCGCGAGGGGCCTGTCCCCAAAGGCTGGCTGCCCCTCGGGTGCCAGCCCCGCATCCCCGGCTCCTGCTGCACCGTGGCCTGGCCGGGTCCAAGACGCCCTCACGCCCCGCTCTGGCAGCCAGGCCGCCTGCCGCCCTGAGCCTGGGGCCCCCGACAAGGACTGGGCAGGATTCTCTTTGGGCTGGTGGAATCTAGAACGCTCTAGGGATACTCAGGAGTCCCGTCTCCGTTCTAGCCTCAGTTTCCCTCCCTGACAAGAGACACGCTGGCCTGAGCGACCTTCAGGGGTTTTCGACCGGCACCCGCTGCAGGAGGCGTGGGCCCCGTGACCCCGTCGGCACCTGCCGCCTCGTGGGGAACAGCTAGCAGTGTCTCTGCGCCCAGCCTGCTGTTCTGGAAGTCAGGGGATTCAGTGTTCCAGACAGAGCGGGGCCTCTGACCTCCGGCGGCCCCGGGCCGTTTCCCGCCTGAGCGTCTCCTCCGCCCCGCCCGTCCACCCGCCATGCCCCGTGTCCTCGCCAAGCGGTGCAGACACCACAGCAAGGTGTCCAGGCCCCTGTTGAAGGACAGTGGGTCGTTTCTAAGTTGTTGACGTTGGGAGGGTGCCACCAGGAAGGCCCTGACTGTCGACGGGGACTCCCCGCTCCATCCCACAGCGCCCCCTCCTCTGCGGGGCGTGGCTCGGGGCCTGGCCCCCTGCAGGGCTCAGGGCAGCCGGCTCTGCAGCTCCTGGGGGCTTGAGAGCTGGTGGGTGTGTGCAGGTCAAGGCGGCGGGCGGGGGGGAGCCCTGGGGGGCAGTGTTGCTTTTGGGGTGGGTGGGCCCAGAGGGCAGGCACCCGGGGTGGGTAAGGGGTCTGCCCCTGTGGTCTGCGTGCTCCCTGGACATGTTTGCACCCACAGACTGTGAGCTGCGGTGGCCGAGGCCGGTGTGGCTCCTGTCCGCACACTGGGGGACCCTGCACAAGTATTCGACCGTGGCTGGGTGGCCACCGTCACCTGAGCTGCCCCTTGGTCCCTCGGTGAGCTGACAGGCGCCGTGGGACTGGTGTGGCTGCAGCCTGGGTCCCTCTGCTGTTCGTGCCGGGAGGGTCCCCTTCCAGAGTCTGGCCTTATCTTTCCCCTGGGCCAGCGTCCCCTCCTGCCTGGACTGCAGGCGGGGTCCCTCCTGGCTGCGCTGGGGCAGATGTTTGATGGGAAGGCAGATGGCACCCCCCCCCCCCCGAAAGTCTTGAGACAGCGCACACCTCCCTCTTTAGACACGAGCACTGGCTGCCACATTAACCCTTTCCCGCGGGGACCACCGGGGGCGCTGCGTGGTTCGCCAGCATGCCCCTGGCGGCCCGTGAGCGGGTGTCCCCGTGTGGTCTTGCTCCCCCTCGGGGGACTCAGGCATCCATCTCTGCGCGCCAGGTCCAGCTCCCTGGGACAGGCCTGGGAATTTGGGTGGTGCTGAACCCCTGGGAACGTTCGGCCTCGGCCCAGCATTCCCTGTGTCCTGGCACGGGACACACAGCGAGAGCACAGTTGTCCCTGGCCCGACCCCCAGGCCACCTCCAAGGTCAGCGCCGCTGCTGTGCCGTGTGGTGGGTTCAGCCAGGCCTCCAGGGCAGGGCCCGGTCTGCAGCTGGGTTCCCCCGCGCAGGTCCGCCTGCCTGCTCGGCCAAGGGGTTACCTGTCCGAGGCCACACCACCCACAGCTCAGAGCTCAAGGGCGGTCACTGGGGGTCCCATAGAGAAGGGATCAGGAGGTTTTGTTCGCGAATCACCCCACCGCGCCACCCTGCCTCCTGGCCTGGGCCAGCCTGTCGTACTGGTGGGGCCTGGGAGGGAGCAGGGGAGTCTTTGTCCCTGACTTGGCTACTCAAGGGAGGGGCAGGGTAGGGCCAGGGATGGGGACGTAACTTCCCTTTTAAAATAACACCCCAGCAGCACCTGTGGGTGAAGAAGGTGCCAGTCCTGGTGCGTCCGCCCCACCCAGCACCCAGGAGGCTGCCCCAGGCTGCCCTGAGGGCCAGCAGGGGTCCCCCCCACGCCCCTGGGCCCCCAGTCCTCAGCTTCTGCTGACGTCACGCACGTGCCAGCAGAGCTTCTGGGCAGTGTCACGTTGCATCCTCAAAGGCCTGAACGCCCTGACGGTATGTAAACCCAGCTCTGGGGGCACAGCTGTGCTCCTGAACGAGGTGGGTGTACACAGACCCCAGGGGGCCTGGGGCGAGGCGCCGCTGGCTCGGGCAGAGGGGGACCGTTCCCCAGCCCGCCCCCGGGGCTCACACCCCCACCCAGCCCCCTTCCCACCCTGGCGCTAGCTGGGGCTGCTCTCCTCACGCCACTCTGCGCCGCCCAGCTGTTGTGGAACGTGCCGTGTGCCGCGTCTGGCTTCTCTCGTCAGCAGGGTGCGTCTGGGACGCAGTGCCGCACGCAGCGGTCCTGCCTTTCCTCTCCCTGTGGTTTCTGGACGTGTTTGTGCGCGGAGTCAGGTGTGCCAATTCTAGGCGTGCCAGTGACGTGTTTGGTAGTTGTCACCACCAGTCCATCAAGACACAGGACGCTTTACTCTCCGAAAAAGTTTCCCGGGTCTTCCCCCCCCCGACCCCCTGCTTTCTGCCGCTGTAATTTCGTCTTTTCTGGAATCTCTGTAGGTGGGATCATGCAGAACAGCCTTGTTTTTTACTTTTTTCCGTGGCTGTGTCTTGCGGTCCATCCGTGCAGCTCGGAGCATGGTCCTTGCTGCTCTGGGTTGCTCAGTCCTGTGGACATGCCACCAGTGGCGGATGGGCAGGCGGCTTCAGGTG